TGCGGAGTATGGGGGGAGCGGGTATAGATTTGCCGGGGCACAGGCGGGACGCGGATTCTCAAAAAGAATATCCACGGGGTTTGGACGGGACGGGTTTGTGAATTTTACGGGGCGGGCCCCGCAGGGCATGGAAAATTAATGCCCCGCACATCTCTGTTTCAGATTTTTGCAACTGTATTGTTCAATATTAAACTTTACCTCATTGCATATCGCTGAAGTATGAGCATGAACATCTTGTCTCAGATAAGAAGTATGGCATTTGTCACAAGTAACACTGACCATTGGACACTTTTCATTGTGTTGACTAAACTTCTTTTGAATAAAATTCTTTCTACAATCGGGACATTTCAATGGCTTGTAGTCGCACTGTTTTTGATGTTGTACTAACGAATCATACGAGTCATACTTGACAACAAGTGAGCAGCCGGTAGCTTTGTATTTACACGAGATCTCAAGTTGCAATAGTCTTTTGGTGACTATATTAGAACAATTTTGCTCGACACATGCTGAGGAGTTGTCGAGACATTTGCTTCCACGTGATATTCGACGTTGTAAACATACTCGGCAGAATGATTTGTCACATGCTCCACATTTTACAGGTTGCCATAATATGCCACCGCAAAAAGTACATTCCAAGTCATCACAATCGGTCAGATTGATTACTTGAGCTTTAGGCAAGTAAGCCTTAGCAGTATGACTCTTTGCAGCACCCATTTGAATAATCGTTTTCATGTTTCATTTTCTTTGACTATGAAAAATGCAACTCTTATCTTATCTATTATTTGGACAACCTAAACGAAGTTTGCGCATGACATATCGGGTTGTAAATCTGAAGAATTCATAGTCAGCACATAAACAGCAAATGTTGCCTAGGGTGTGGGTGTGGGGTGGATGTGGGGGTGTGGGCTGTGGGTGTGTATTTGCGTCTGGTATTCTTCTCTGTCACACCCACACCTGACACCCACACCTACACCCCACACCCACAGCCTCAAGTAAATTTGATGTGCTGAATCAGAAAACAACATTTTCACGTTTTCAAAAGAACAAAAAAATTAAAAATGTGGATTTATCGCTTAAAAATTGTAAAAATAGCTTGTTTTTAAATTTTCATTGCTCAAAAAATTTTCTGTGTGAAAAATCATTGTTAAAGCAAAAAAGCTACTTTTTCCTAGGTAACTCAATGTTGTTCTATCAAACCATGGTTAGATATCGTGAAAAAATAATTTTGTGGAAATTTTGCATTTCCAATACCTTACATTGTCAAAGAAAATGTAAGCATACAGAATTTTTAATCGACCGAAAATTTTCTTCAAATATATCTGATATCTGTGAGATGATAGGGTGTGGGTGTGAGTGTAGGCGGTGGATGTGCGTGTGAAGAGGAGGCCAACACTCACACCCACACCCTTTTCCTACTACATCATGCTTTTCGTTATCATTTGAAACATGAATGTTTCGATGTTATTGCAGATGTAAATCATTCAAGCAAATCTTTACATATATAATATGTGTGCATATTGTGTAAATACATTCGGAACGTAATGTGCGATAAGAATCAACATAAAAAGAAGAAAAAACGATTCTAATTACGCATGGTAAAAATATATAAAGTTGCCTTGTTGCGAAAGTAAAAAGAAATCATTCAACCAAACAAGCAAACCGTGTTACATATACAATAACAAGTCTAATCAAAAGCACGTGAAAGAAGTTTTCTTCGTACATTGAATTTCGTTGGTTTCGTTAAGGTGAGTACAGCTCATGGAAATAATGCCAAAAAAGAGAAAACAGGCTTTTTAGATAATGCACACTTAGTATTTATATGATGATGTATAAATTAGACACGATTAAGATCGATATGAAATAGGTTTGAACGATAGACTCGTCGTTGAGACGAATAGCTGATAGATGTTTGCTAAATATAAGAGACCACATTCAAAGTTGGGTACGGGTGAAGTATAGATATAAGGAGAGAAATAGATTAGTAACACTCATATCTAATATGAGATTCTATGCTGGATAGAGTGAGCTGCAGACAAAGGAGTTTTTGGCAATCAGTTTCTTACGCCAAGTATTCGAATAAAAGGAAAGAAATTGTGCATATTGGGAAAAAATGCTGGTTTCTCTTATTCGACTCTACTATATCAAATGTGAGGAGGAAATTTAAATCTCTTGCTTTACAAAACATGTCAAGCACTATCCATTGTTATACGATTTAATCTGAAAAAAGAAAAACACATGAATTGAAAGATGAACTTTACTCTACTCAACCATAAGTTTCTTTTTTTTTGTATTTAATTTATTGTGCTATTCAAGGTTCACAAGCTTACAATAGGAAAATAGAGAAAAAAGAAGAAAAAAACGAAGATATTTAAAATACGTACCGTCAACCTCAATTGATTTATTTCTAAAAGTTTGTATAGCTGCGAAGAAGAATACAAGAAGACAAAAAGAAAAGATATAATACCAATAAATTACATCAGTTATATCATATTGAGAACATAAAAGTGTGTACTGTTTATAGTGATATCATTGGTGTGCAGTCGTGAGTAATCGATAGAGAACAGAAAAGAAAATATGCTCCAGAATGATGAAAAGCGTATCATTATGTACGATCTATTGGTTGCTTCACTGTTAAAAATGCTTTTTGTCTTACAAGATATTTCATCTATCTAACGTCTAGTTTAGACGCGAGTTAGATGTGAATTGCATCTTATTTTAAGACATGTAAATGAATAGATAGGAATATGTCCTAAAATCATCGTTAGTGACTGTCGCAGGTAATTATCTGTATCTGTTTCAACAATCTGTAAAGGCGAGAACTCTATGAATTGTCGAATTTTTACTAATGTCATTTGTAAATAAGAGTTATTTTTGACTCATAAGTTTCCAGAAGTGGAAAACAAAATTTTTAGTGTCCTCTTTTATCTACAAGTACGGTATCAAGAGCTGATCATTACGGTTGATCCGTGACTTGTGGTTCTTTACTTTCTTTTTTTTACATTTATTTTTACATGCAAGAAAAACTAAATTTTCATAGTGTTCTCCATTAGATGAGTCGTTTAAATTTTTGTATTTAGCGTCATATACCATTTTCTTTATCGTATGAGGTTTCAAAATGAAATATAAGAGTCATTTGAAAATTATCTTTTTTTCCTCTCTATGATCTACAAGGTCATCTTAGTCCAGAAATATACTGCTTTTCTATTTAAATTCTTATTAGGATTTTTATTGCAATTAACACAAAGTCTCCTGAAAGGGAAAATTTGACTTTTGACTGATAAGGTTTCAACACTTATTGTTATCATGTACATGAATCATAGTCATTGACATGCTCAAAAATTAGTTGTAATACTAATTCAAAATTGTGATAAGAAGGAATTGAACGATATATCGTAGTATAAGTATAAGTATACTAAGTCTTTTTTTTGTTATTGAAAAATTTTTCTATATTGAAGTGCTTATTTTTTTTTCATTTATCTATTCTTTTAAGACGTCGTAAATGTTTTTAAACATATATAAATGAATCTAAAGAATTTATTTTTTATTCATTATGGATATATATTTAGTAAATTATTCCTTTTTTTTCGATAATAATAAAATTATTGATATTAGTTTGGCACAAATTTATTTCATAATTATGATTTAAAAAAAAAAACATTTTGATACATAATGTGAAAATAGTTCAAGTTAGGCAGAAAAAAAAAGATTTAACTCGACATTCGACAGAAAATGAGACAGAGTTTTAAAATACTCATCTGATTTTGAACATGAATGGTTTGTAGACATCTCCATTCACTGAATATTCTTCTCAGTTTCCAATTGCACACCTATCTAAGATCTATCTTTTCTGGATACTTCAACTTATCTGCAACTTATTAACTCTAGAATTGATATACCGTTCTATATGAACTTAGGTATAAAAAAATTTTTAATGAAATATTTTTTTCTCATAAATTTTATTCTGTCGTTGAATTTTATATGATTATTAGACAATAATTTTTTTTAATTCTAGAATATTTTTTCTAATTTGAGATGAGGTATGAAAAAAAAAATTTCAGAACTTTTAAAAAAATTTATTGTCTGATAATTTTGTAACACTGAAACACAAAATAAAATTTATGAGAAAAAATCTTATTAAAAATTTTTTTAATATTTAAAAGATGCTCAATTACATTGGCATAAATGATCCAATCAATAGAATGTGAGACAGATCAGTATTCAAAAATTGGTTATCCGTTGATACTTGAAGTATCTAAGTTAGACGTATAGCGACCACCAATCGGAAACTTCTTCAAGTATCTTGACTAATGAATAAATCGTCTTGTTCATACTCTTCATGTGTCTTGATTTTTTAGAGAGTTGTGAAGTTTATCTAATCATTTTATTCAATGTGTTTGATTTAGCTCATTCATTTATTTTTATTTTTAATCTTATTTAATCTTTGAAAGTTGACTACAAGTCAATTTTTCAATCCAAATATTTTGAATTTCTTTTTTACGGCATAACAATGTCTAATTTTGAGTGAGGTGAAATTCAAAATCTATTGATCGCTATGTTTTCTATTCTCGAAAGTAGTTGATGTCTTTCCTAGAACCCTACTATAAAATGGGATTCTATCTAATTGACATAAAAACATAGTAGAAAACTCTCAAGATATTGATTGTAATAGTTGTATAATTTTTTGATGCTTGTACTATCTTACTCAATCATGAGATACCAGTATATTATGAAGATTCATAAAAAGAAGTTTTGTTTTCATGACATATCAAAATGTACTTTATGAATACTATTTGAATTCAATTTCTGAATAATTATATAGTAGAAAATATTTCGTGATTGTTAATTATATTTTTAGTCGAAATTTTCATTATTCATTTGAAATACCGTTATTTTCTGTTTATTTTAAAAGTAAAAGAAAAAAATTAATTCTCGTATTTCATCTTTTTTTTCTAGATTTTTTACCCCTTTTTTTTCTCTGTTGTAAATTAAAATTACATTAAATGGTTAGGGCAATGCAATTTGGTAACAAATCCCGATTTACTGACCTTGAAAATGAACCTGTGGATCACCTATTACCACCTATAAGAGGTTATCAAGGTCAAACACTTGTTTCACTAGTTGAAGCAATTCAACCTGTTTCTAGTTTTTTTGTTGAAATTAAAGATAATGTTATGATTGCGTTACAGAATTCACAAAACCCTGCTAATGGATTAACTCAGGACGAATCAGCTTCAATACATTTATATACTATGCAATTTGACAGAGGACCAAGTTTATTTGAATTACTTAATCAATCATTACGCGATGAAAATCGTCAAAATTTGAAACTATGGTTTCCATATCTTAAATTATTTTGTACTGCACTATATAAACTGCCATCACAAAGTATAAGAGTATGGTGTGGGATTCGAGATGTTGATTTAACTGCAAAATACCAAAAGGGTACACGATTTGCTTGGTGGGGAGTTAATTCTTGTAAGACTGATATGCAAGCACTTGAATCAGATCAATTCTTGGGTAAACAAGGGCAGCGTACATTCTTTTCGATTGAATGTATCAATGCAAAATGTGTTTCAGCACATTCATATTTCAAAAACATAGAAAAAGAAATCATTCTTATGCCTGACTCCCATTTCGAAGTGATAGACCAGTTAAATCCAGCAACTGGACTTTATATTATTGAATTAAAAGAAATTACACCGTCAATGACACTTGTTAGACCACCGTTTACTATATGGAACGGAGAAAAATCACCATCGGTCGTACATAAACTAAGTGCATCTTCTTCAACAACACCAGGTATGATGACATCGATAGCATCTGCCGGCAGCGTTTTAGAGAAAATGACAAAAGGTATGATTGATTTTATATCTTTATTATTTTCATGTTTGGCTTTCTCATTTCTACAATACTAAACAAGGTTTTCGAGAGATTCTTTTCTGAATTTTTTATTTTAACGCATGTAAATAAGTGTAAAACGAAAGTTAAATACAAAAAGTGTAGTTAAGAGATCAGCATCGATAATATTTCATATGAAATAGAGCATACTTTTTCTATTTCGGTAAGATAAATGAATGAAAACAAAAAAGAAATAAATTATTTACACATATTCATTCAATGTGTTTGAGTCAAGACAGAAACGATGCACTCTGATACTCCGAGAGTACACGGAGTTCACGGAATCCACAGAGCACAAGAAGTCTAAGCATTGGGTGGGGGGGGGGGGTATACTAAACTATGCCGTTTCCCCTTGTTTTATTCTTGTTGGACTCTGTACTGCACTGAAATCCATGTACTCCAACGGGCTTCGTGTACTCTCGAAGTACCATAGTATATCATCTTCTCTTGTCTTTTCTTCATTTGCTTTTGCTCTTGTGAAGGAAGCATTCAAACCAATTATCATAGTTAAGTTTTTCTGCCCATCTATGATCTCAACTAAGAGAATTGACACTTGCCAATGCGAGTCGCTGGAACCATCACTGAATGTTCAAAAGTTTGGCTATAATATCTGTCTTTACAAACGGAGAAATCCGGCTAGTTGTATCAAAACTTTCCCAACTGATTTTCTGAATCGTCGTCTCATATACTCCTAGCCCTCGCGACACCCTTGAAAGCTTTCAGATAGTAACAAAATAGGAAACCCAGTGAGGATTCTAGAGGTAACCTTTTCTTTCATGCATACATAAACCAACAACCACAAAGGCGCACAGGCTTACCACAGTCATCCACATTCTCGCAAAAGCCTACAACAGTATAACGATGTATCCTTCACACATATGACTTGAACATGTGTCAACCTGAGAAAACTGATTGAGACTGAGTTGAATATCGAAAACATCTATTTGACTGAACTCCTGACAACGGAAAACGTTATCGAATGAGAGCTAGATAACTAAAGTACCTGGCTGGAATAGGGTACAGCAGAATGAAATCGTTAACTAAAATAGTCATTCAAAACTTTCTATAAATAGATATGGAGATGTCAGTACATGATTATAGGCAAACAAACACACGAACTCATTTTTTCGATATGTCCCTCGCTTCAGTGAAGAGGATACAGACCAGATATGTGTCCCGCGTGCACAGAGCAGACACGACTGTCCCGCATGACTTTTTTTTCTGCTCGGACGGTCGCGCGGTATTGGTTCGGTCGTGTTAACACTTACAATTTGTTGAACTTGAAATTTAAAAAATCAAGTTCATTTTTTTATGTCGTGCAGTCACATTTGTGTTCTCGTATTCAACCGAAAGTGAAAAACAGTCGAACATCAACTTCGTAATCATTCTTGAAAAATAGCTGTCATTTTTTAAATTCTACTACTAATAATTTTGAATTGCCGAAAAGTATTAATTTCATAATACACGTTCCATACTACACACATATATTTCTTTTCGTTAGAAATACTAAATAAATTATTCACTTCAACTATAGGTGTCTCTAGCATTATTTATTATCCTATTTGGTTAGAATTTTGACTCTCCATTACAACTATCGTATATTTCGTACTTTGATTTCTACTTAATATGGGATGTATTGTTCAATAAATTATATTCATAAAAGTATATTAAATTTGAGTTTTCTTGAACTCAAGAGAAGAAATAAACAACACAAAACCGGTATTATGACCAGTTAAAGGTTGTCCTAAAGGTCACTTATCGAGAATAAATTCATATATTAAAACCACATTTTAACCTAATCAACTGTTTTGTTCCTGATCATAGAGGATAGTTCCAAGTTTTCATTTATCAAGAAAAAAGTTAAGAGCATTGCCTAAAACTGTTATTATATATCGAAAAGAGAAAATAATATGTTTTTGGCAAAGTTACACAATCGATTCAAGTGTCTTTCATATGATTCGAATTTCTCATTTCTTCACTTTTCGCAATAAACCAAATAATTTATATTCAAGCTTTGAGTTTTCGCTAATGTTTTTAGCTTCTGCAAGACGTTGTAAAATCTTTCCATAGATTCTTACACAGAAACTTCGTAACAGAATATGTTCAGTTATACAGAATACTTGATAAAGCATTTTAATAAATAGTGAATTATAAAAAGCACTCAAAATCTTTTTGACATATCCAATTTCGTAAAGTTCCTATTACTGATTATTTTTATTAAGGAGGATTCCCTGAGCAAACGCAATTTTCCTAAGAAAAGTCGAAGTCGAGTTTTTATCATAGGAAGATGCACTGTGATCTTTTCTTTTAGAATATATATAGCTTTTTACAAAACGAATAGATTTTCACGGACAGATCGACTGAAACTTGGGCCCTACTATCATTTGTTTCGAGAAATTTTCGTGGTTTTTCTTAAAGTTTTTCAGTCTTTGAAAGACCACCTTTCCATTTACATCAGGATTGAATAAAGTTTCTTTTATATTAATCATTAAAAGTCTACTAATACTTAAGATAAAGATCATATATTCATAGCCTGTCCGAAACAATGATATATATATATAACGTATATTTCGTAAAAATCGATTTCTAAAACTTATTTAGTGTTTTTCTCAAAATTAGTTTTTTTGAGCATACCGTTTACGCGAGTAAATCTTTCTTGATAGCGACTCAATATGATAATGGTAATTTTTTTCTGTTATATAGCAGACAACCACGGCTAGATCGTATCAGAGCCTGATTTTTAAATTTCTCTTTTGCTGAAATAAAAAACTTAGATCCTTGATTTTCATTACCGATTTTTTGGCTACGAATTTGAGGATTTTTCGATAAAGTTTTTTTAAAAATCAAACAAAGGAAAATTAAAAAATCGAGCTCTGATACGACCTAGCCTAAAGGGTACTCTACAATTTGAAACTGCTCTGACATGCTTGGCTCGTATCGTCACTTAGAAGAATTTGTCCGTGTAAAGGGTATTTTTGACCAATGAATTGACTATAACTCGTCAGTGTTGTGCAGATTTGGGGAGATATTTTAACTATAAGCTATTCTAGTCAAGGCTAACATTCTCTGAGATTTTGGTTGAAATTGAATGACGAGTAAATGAGTTTGTTTCTGAGGAAACCTCTTAAAACAAAATTCTATTTCCACCGATAGAGAGGTGTCACATATCCAGGAAATTGGAGAAGCTGAAGAAGTGAAGGGAGATGCCAGACTAACTACAAAACAGACTCGTCCATTATACTTTCTTCGCATCGGCATTTCTCGCATGGTTAAAGTCTAAAAATAGAAAGAAAAAGATTTCATCGGGAGATGCTGCGTCTCCCTACACTTCTTAGCTTCTCCAATTTCTTGAATATGTGGCACTGCTGTTCATATGAAAGTGTTCATTAATCAGGCATTGTGTGTTCAGAAATATTGATGCAATAAACATCTGAAAAAAGTCGTCGAAAGAATCCTCGAATTAGTTAGGGGCAGCCGTGCTCCTGATCTGACGAGGTGCGAAGCGGCCACTTCGCTTAACGAAAAGGCTTTTAGTGCGGTGTACACCTCTGGTACAGACAAAGTTAACTCACTTATTGGTAAATAATGAATGCAGTATTTACTTGTTTCCCTATAAGTAGTGGATATTACGTCTAGGTGTTTCCATTGAAAACTTAAATGCTATTTCTAGGTATTTACCTGCAAAATGTAAATACTGTATTTAGGTATTTACTTATTTACTTATTTACTAATAAAGGTACAGTCCCATCCCTAATTAGCACTTAAAACAATATTTTTTGGTTTTGGAAAAGTTATAACAGGTGCTGAAGTGCGTACAAAACTTGATAAGATGAATAAAAAGAATTTCGAATGACCTTGGATTCTGTCTCTCTCTCTCGGTGTTTATTTTTCGCTCTTCATGCTCTTGTTGGTTGTAAATATAAGTATGAAGTACCACGAGTAAGAAAAAGAATACTTCTTCCAATTCTGTAACCTTTTTATTTGATCCAATGTTGTTTTGTTTGGAATAAATGATTTCTTATAAAAGAAAATATGTTTCAGCACTTGTATTGGCTCAAGATTATATGACTCAATGGTCAGCAGATAATGTCTATTCGGATGAAGCACTTATTGTACCATTTCCCAGTTTAGCTGTATTTGATCCAAATAAAAATATCTGGTGCATCCAAATTAAAGCTTGGTTATATTTACCATTTGAAGACAAAAAAATAAAAAATTATTTATCATCATTAACGACTATTTTATCTGGTAAAACTGAAGAAAATGTCGAAAATTCTATTCATCAAGATAATAAAAATATCAATACAGAAAAAACTTTGAAAGCTCTTGTTTTTGTCGTAGACTGTAAAAATATAATCAAACAAGAAGAATTAGTGGATGACGATATTTATGAAGACGCTCTACGTGAGTTAAAATTTATTTGTATTTTTTAAAATTTCTATAAATATTTTTTCATCATAAAAGATGATTTTGATAAATCAAAAGGAAAACCAAGTCGTTTAAGTTTATTTTTTGCTGGAAGACCTGTTAAAGCTGCAATTAAATGTTTGATTCATGATGTTGAACATTTAATGGAATCATCTGATGAACGTGGTTTTATAGAAGAACGACTTGAATTATCTGATGAAAAAATTCAAAAAATTTCAAAAAAAATTCATCCTGATTCCGATGATCGACAATTTGATTATGAAATTCGAATAAATGAATCGAAAACTGATTCTAAATCAGGAAATTTGAAAACACTTAAATGTACGATATATACTCTAGCACCTAATGGTGTTAGTATTATATCAGATATTGATGACACAATAAAAATTACTAAAGTTCTTAATATACCAGCATTATTAAAACATACATTTTTTGATGATTTTAAACCAGTCAATGGTATGAATGAACTTTATCAAAAATGGTATGAACAAAAATGTCAATTTCATTATGTTAGTGCAAGTCCATGGCAATTGTAAGTCACAAAATTTTTAAATAGAAAAGAAGAAAAAACAAAAACTGATGAATAATATTTAGATTTCAAGCTATATCTCATTTTTTGAAAAAATATAATTATCCAATGGGTACCGTCAATTTAAGAAAATATGAAACTCTGTTGAAATTTTTAAAACTACCACACACCTATAAGAAGGATATAATTACACAGATCATTCGTGCTTATCCTTTCAGAAAATATATCTGTGTTGGAGATTCAGGTTTGATAAAATATTGAACAATAATTATCTATGAATTCATTGATCTATTTTTGTTAAGGAGAATTGGATCCTGAAATTTATGCTGAATTATACGATACTTTTCCACAATGTATTGCTCATATATTTATTCGGGATGCTTGTCAGACATCTGAATGTTTACCAAAATGTCAAGAACGATATATGAAAACATTCCAAGATGTACCAAAACAAAAATGGACTGTTTTTAAAGATCCTAAAACGATTGAAACGAATATTCAAAAAATAATTGCTACTTAAAATTATCCTTTATTCAAAATGTTCTCACGGTACCATTTTGGGTGTGGATGTGGTTTTTTTTTAAGATTTGAAATAAATCAAAAGCTAGCAAGGCGCATTTCGGTTACGCTTAAATAACCTTATCAATTGCTAATAATTTGAAGGATCGTAAAGTATAATATATCTCTCCTACTATGAATTAATATAGTTAAAAATTTATAACGAAACTTTCAATATAGTACTAATCATAATATATTATTATCTAAAAGTTTTTAGAACGAAAAATTTTAATAATAAGATAGAAGAGATTCTTTATTATATGGGGCACCTTATCCTATGCCTTCGAGATGTGTATTTCGAAAAGTCTGAGGGAGTAAAAATAATAAAAAAAAGCCAGTATTTTTAAAAATTTGAGTGTTTTTCTTCCATATAAAAAATATGACATTTTTTAACATTTTTTAAGATTTTCCAAATAGTTTTTTAAATTTTTTATCACAAAAAAATGACTCAGAAACTTTTTCACATAGACAGTTTTGTAGAGCTCGACGAGTTCAATCGAATCATGTAAAAATATCTAAGGAAAACGTTTTACTCCAGTTTTGAATTACTGGTACCTTACTTTATCACGGCAAAAAAGTATAAAATTTCTGAAAGTTTCTTAAGTGCGATATTAAAAAGTTTTCATAACCCTTACTATTTAGTATCAATAAAACCCATTTTTGACAAGCTTTCATTTGATATAAAACTCATTATGTCTTCTATTCGAAATTATAGTGGTACCCTTCGGGAATAATATTATGTCCAATCCTGTACAATACCGTAGGTATTTGCGATGGGTGTAGGTGTGGAGTCTGAGTGTATATGTTCACTTCACCCACACCCACACTCTTCATCAGTCGTTGTTGCAAAATTTCCAGATCCATATTCATTTTGAGTCAAATAGAGAGGATGTTTAGCAATGTTTAATACATTCATCGTTAACTTGTTGCTTTCTTTCAGAAAATGGAACAAGCAACTGTCCGTATCTGAATATCCTTCGACTATATTCTCCACAAGATATTTCATAGATCTGTTTTTTTTTATTGATTCACATGTTAGAAAACGGAAATAACTACAAAGTATAATTCAATAAGTCTAGTTTTTCATTATGACCCATGATTGATTATCATATTTGTGTAACCATTTCAATTCTTCGCGAACTTTTATTTTGCCATACCAAGGATTCTTGTTCAATCCATGTCCTTCATTTGGAAAAATTAATAGTTGAACGGGTATACCGAGATAATGGAGTCCACGTTCCAACATAAAACTTTGACTAGGTTTGGTTGATTCATCTTTTTCACCCGTAATAATATGTGTAGGTGTTCGTACTCGAGATAAATGATAAATAGGTGATTCATATAAGTAATTTTGTGGTACTTCCCATGGATATCCTCCGAGCAGAGAATGGATGAATGTCGGCATATATATTGTACCCCAAGAAGAGGTATGTTCCACTGCACCAGCACCGGACAGAGCAGCATTAAAACGTGTAGTTTGTGTAATCAACCAGTTTGTTAGAAAACCACCATAGCTATAACCACCAACAGCAAGTCTATTTGGATCAGCCATGCCATCGTTAACTAGTTGATCAACTCCTAAAAGAACGTCTCTACCCGGTCGAGATAGAGGTTGACGAAAAACTTCGTTATGAAATTCATCACCATATCCAAATGTACCTCGATAGTTAGGTTCTAAAACAAGCCAACCTTCTGAGGCTGCTAATGGTGCCCAAGTGTACCAGTCCGCAGTAAATGAATTACTACTTGCTGGAGCTGGACCCCCATGAATCAAAAGGAACAAAGGTAAATTTTTTGATTGAAATTTTCCTGGTGGATAATGTAAAATGCCTTCGATCGTTCGTTGATCTTCATTATTTTTCCATTGATAAATTTTTGTTTGTGGCAACTCTCGCTGTGTAAATAGTTTATTTTCATTTGTTAATGCTTGTGCTGATGGAAGTTCATCAATATTATCCACGAGATAAACTTCTTTTGGTTGTTCGAATGATGAATAAATAAATGCAATAGGACCATTTCGTTTTGATGATAATGAAATTTGTTCGTATGTTCCATTCCATCCTTGATGATAAATCAATTTGTGTATCGGTGATTGTTGTGTATAGATTTGAGTTTCTGTGCCAAGTTGTCCTAGTATGTAAACACTACCATCAGATTTTATCATATATCCTGCAATGCTACCATCGAAATCTTTTCCTAGACGTTCGACATGTCCATTAGTTAAATCTAATGAATATAGTCGCTGTTGGATAGCATTCAATTTTCCTTGACTTGACTCACTACCGAATGCTAAGAATAGTACATGTTTATTGTCATTTGATAATCGTAATTCACGTTCCCATAGGTCATTGTTCGTTAATCTGGATAATGTCGATACATTTTGTAGATTAAGAGAATACATCTCTATAATATTCATTTTTTCAATAAGTGTTGAATAAGACATGAGTACAAGTTTTTCTTCCAATGGAACAAATAATAATTCTGTAATTAGAAATGGAACATTTTTGATAAGAGATCTTTTCGTGGATGATGTCTGATTATTCTTTTCTATATCAATACGATAAATTGAACTACCCTCATAAGATTTCGACAATCGATATTGAATAACATCTTTCCATTCGATCTTCTGTGAATTTTGATCTTCTTTTGGTTGCATTAACGTGAATGTAACAAAATAAAGAGAGAAATCATCATTGGACCATGTTAAAGTTAATGGCATTACTTTGCCAATATAAATAGGCAGCCATTCGTTTGATATGATGGAATATAAGTAAATATACTCATTTGCTTTTGGATATCCTTCGGATGAAGGATGATGACTGTTTGTAGCGTTTGTAATTGGATTTTGATCTAGTAAAACAGCAATCCAACTTCCACTTGGTGACCATTGTGGTTTCATCGATTCGGAAAGTACGTTTGTAATCAGTTGTTTTCTCTTCGTTTCAATATTAAATAACCATAAACTGTTTTCATAAGAGTTTGAATTCCATAATGGACGTTTGGATTGAATGAACAGATGTTTACCATTAGGAGAAAGACTTATTGATGGATAATTCGTAAAATCGAAATATTCGTTCAATGTTAATTTTGGTTTTGTTTCACTTGATGAACACAATATTAATTTCAATATTAATAGTAAGCACAGTTTCATTTTAATCATTCATATTATAAATTATAGTCTAAACAAAAAACAAAACTGAGAAACAATCATATCTAAAAAAACACGAAAAATGTTGTTCGTCATAAATTGAAAAATAATACTAATTCATTTCGAAATTAGTCGAACAGTAAAAACAGATGCAAGGTAGGCTTGTATCTCGTGAAAAACAAATGTCCAGGTGCTACGCGAGAAGGCACGAAAATTATTCTGTTCTTTTTTCTCAAACGATGAGAGACTTTCAGTCACAGCGAACAGATTAAGCTTAGAGAGCCACACGACAATAAATTTTCCACATTGTCCAACCGATTGCAAGTATTCAATTCTACCACTTAACTTTATATTTCATCAACTTAGGATATACACATAAACATACTTTTTCAAGCGGATTAACAAAGAGTATACATGATATTTCAATGGGATTAAAGAGCAAATATTTGATGTGATGTTTTTTAAATCACACATAATATTGCTTTTTCTCGTTCTCTTCATTGACTTAATAATGAAGCTCAGCATAACATTAAAAGATATTAATGAATAAGATCATGAATCTGTCATCGGCTTAATTCTACATCTCTGTATACTTTTTTATGTTCGTTAGTGGATGCGAAAATACTCAATGTCCAGCAATTCTAGTTGAGGTACTGTCGAACAAAGATTTTTGACCGTATTACTTAAACTATGTTCAAGTAGCATCATCCTCTTCCAGTAGAAGTAATCGCGTAAAATCTGCTACAGAACGAGAATAACCATCGCTATGTGCTGTATGATCAGTATGGTCAATTAGTGCGTTGGGAAAAATATTGAACAGAATTTATGACAATTATTTTTCCAACGTGATGTAACAGAAAATGAAATGCTTTCCTTTTTATTCAGATGCGAAAAATAATAAATAAAAATACCTATTAAGTTCCTTTGTATTAATCAATAAAAGATTAATGTAGATAGGAGAGGATTACGTTGTGAAAATGACATCAACGAGATAGAGAATTATTATTGTCTGACAACTAAGTGCGAATGCAATTTTGATATTTGACTAGTATCGTTTTAAGATTTCGCTGTAACAAAGTTTTCAAAGTGCAATTGTGCTCACAATTTGATCTGATACCTCTCATATAGGTTCGAATACTGAGTACTATATTATGCAGAAAATTCTTTATCAAACAGGAATAGCTTTTAGTCTTTAACCACTAGTATAAAAAAATTAAATATTTATTAAATGACTGTCCGTATGATAAACAAAGTTTAGCTGCAAAATCTTTCAATGTTACACCACATTGTGAACAAAATCTTGCATACTAATCAGCATACGGTAGAGGTGAAGAATTTTTTTCTTGTCCGAAAGACAGTTTTGGTGCAGGAGCAACTTTATTTGAATAATGTATTTGATTACTACATTCTGAGAGCATAGAACGATCAATATCAATCACTAACGAAAAAAAACAAAATAATAGAAACACATTCCCAAGTCGAAAAGATACGATCGTATATATCATGAACATACACGGCTGTCGTGTACGACTATATGAGAGGAAACTGAAGAGAAATTCACCTCCTTTCATAATTTCTTATGTGGTACAAATGAAGATATTAATGAAACAATAATACTTATACAATGAAGCAACAGACTATTTCGATAATGTTTAGATTTTCTACCACAAAGTTTCGGAGATTCTGATCTCCAAATACATGGTGTTAGTGACCGCAATGAATATTCCATTGATTGTTCAGCGGCTGCATGCCTCATTCGTACTACCCAGTCAGACAAAATTTTTACGCCTGACAAGCACACATTTTAAAGCGTTCAAAACACGTTTTTTGTTGTTTTATACCAAGAAACGCGCTTTTAACTCGCAAAATTGTGCGCTTTTGAACGCATAAAAATGGCATTCTTTAACCTGGGCAGACAAGCGTTAAAAAGCACCGGTTTTACACGTTCAAAGCGCGATTTTTGGTAAACAACAACAAAAAAACGCCACTTTTTTCGAAAAACCCATTTTGAATACGTTAAAACGTCCGCTTTTGAACGCGTAAAAACGCGTTTTTTTACCGATTTTGTCTGACTGGGTAAACATGAACGTGCAAAATAAATTGTAATAATGAAATATGCCATACCAAATATAAAAAAGCTAATTCCAATATTAAACAATACATCAATAGCCAATGGACGAGAAATGCCTGTTTTTAGTATACTAACACATATGCATGGTGTTGCAACTACTATACTCGCAAGATAAATAATCAAACAGATCGTTGCATAAGTGTGAAGTGAAGAAAATACTTGATTAATTTTATTAATTGATTCTTGAAATTCATCTTCACTAATTATGCCATTTAAATCAACTGGATATTTTGAATCAAATTCTAGGGTGTGGGAGTGGGGGTGAGTGTGGGTGGGCGCGAATGGGTGTGAGTGTGGGTGTGGATTAAAAGAAGAACTACATCCATACCTACCCACACCCTACACCCACGCCTACACCCTACACCCACGCCCACACCCTACACCCACGCCCACACCATACACCCACGCCCACACCATACACCCACATCCACACTCACACCCGCCCCCACATCCACACCCTTGTTTCTCCCTTGGAAACTTTAATAACTCGCGACGAAACATCTCCAGGTGCTAAATCATTTCTGGCTTTGGACTATGTTCGTTCGATGAGTACTGGCAACCGTTGAAAAAGTCTTGAATGATTTTGGTTTCCAGGCCTTCTTTCTTATGATATCGAACTTTTACTAGATTTTTCAACAAAACCTCGTACTCCTCCTCAGATCACGTTGAAAGTTGACTTTTTAGTTTTGGCTTGAAACTTTGCACAAATAATGCTTTCAATGAAACTAGTTCATTGTGAAAGCTTCAGCCTTTTTCGTTGTTTCTGTCATAAAATACGAATATGCAAAATTCTATTCTGTGAGAAAGCGAATTTTGTGCTTTTGTTAGTATATCACCATAGAAGCAACGAAAAGGCTGACACTTTTACAATGAACTAGTTTCATTGACAGCATTATTTGTGCTAAGTTTCAAGTCACAACTAAAAAGTCCACTTTCAACATGACCTGTGGGAGTACAAGGTTTTGTTGAAAAATTCCGTAAAAACCCTATTTTTCAGAAATTTTACGAGTAGACGGGGCTAAATAAGCACAAATAATCAGCATCAAGTGAGAAGCATAATGATACAAAATATGAAGTTATTAGCTATATTAATTGTAGTGGTTGCTCCCGGCCTCCTTGTTTTATTCACTGTATGGGGAAGGATCTGGGTGGGTATGGGTGTGGTTGTGGGTGTAGGTTCGGTTGTGTATGAGTGTAGGTTATGTGATAAACTACAAATACACACTCACACCACTCTCTCATTAACACTCACGCGCACCACCCTCACATCAACATTCATTCACACCCACACCCGCACCTCACACCCTCACTTATTGACTTGTGCAACCCAAGATCGAACAGCTTTACTTCATTTTACAATTAACACATGAAAAACGCACTATCCACGCATTGATCAAGTCGTTCCAGTTTATCACCATAGTGACTTCAGAAGCAATGTTTATGATATTATCTATCGTCGATCTCGATGAATGCATTCCTGCAAGGAAGCATGAATATTTCCATCGATATTATTGCCTCGAAGAAATATATTGATGAGTGTCTGCGTGAAAGAATGCGGATGAGGATATAAGATAGACGAACAAAGAATGATGGTTACTTTATTTTTTCGTAATGCATCAAGCAGATGTTCTCCTCCCTTATCTCCAATTTGATTACCGGCGAGATACAGTGTGATCAGCACCTGTTTAAGACAGTTGAGATTTTTTATATGAAAGAGTTGAAGAGAGAATCAGGCTCACCGTGTTGTTTCGTAATCCATCAGCTACATGTTGTGCTCCTTTGTCGCCGATGTGATTGCTACCCATGTATAGTGTGGTGAGTGTCTGCATGAAATACAAAAATGAGGTATGAGGGAGCTGCATAGAGAATGCGATCACCGTGTTGTTTCCTAATGCATCAGCCAGAGGTCGTGCTCCTTTGTCTCCAATTTGATTTCTTTCGAGATATAGTGTGGTGAGTGCCTGCGTGGAAGAATGCAGATGAGGATATAAGATAGACGAACAAAGAATGATGGTTACTTTATTTTTTCGTAATGCATCAAGCAGATATTCTCCTCCTTTGTCTCCGATTTGATTGTCATTGAGATACAATGTGATCAGCGCCTGTTTGAAAAAGTTGAGATTTTGATATGAAAGAGTTGAAGAGAAAATCAGGGTCACCGTGTTATTTCGTAATCCATCAGCCAAACATTGTGCTCCTTTGTCACCGATGTGATTGCCATCGAGGAATAGTGCGGTGAGTGTCTGTGTGAAAAATGAAAAAGGCGTATGAAAGAAATGAAGATAAAATGCGGTCACTGTGTTGTTTCGTAACCCATCAGCCAGAGGTCCTGCTCCCCTGCCTCCGATATTATTGTTATTAAGATATAGGTCGGTGAGTACCTATATGCAAAAGAAAAGTTGTAAATATGCAATAGATGAAGAACAAATGAGGGTCACTGCGTTATTCCGTAATGCATCAAACAGATGTTCTCCTCCCTTGTCTCCGATTTGATTGTGATTGAGATATAATGTGGTCAACACCTGTTTGAAACAGTTGAGATTTGAAAATGAAAGGTTTGAAGAGAGAATTGGGCTTACCGGGTTATTTCGTAATCCATCAGCCAAATATTGTGCTCCTTGGTCACCGATTCGATTTCCACTGAGGTCTAATGTGGTGAGTGTCTGTATGCAAAAGTGAAGATGGTCAAGGAAGAGATGAGTAGAGAATGCTGTTCACCGCGTTCTTTGTGAGAGCATTGGCGATATATTGTGCACCTTGGTCTCCGATTTGATTGCTATTGAACATTAGTATGGTGAGTGCCTATGTAAAAAAGTGCAGATGGTCAAGAGAGAGATGGTTGTTCAGATCCACACTAATTGATTTCCTACTGGGCCTAGAA